CTCTCCCCCTCTGCCGCCCCCCCGCTCTAACCCAGCATTTCTTGGGGCAGCTGTCCACACCCCCAGACTACACCCCTGCCTGGAGAGCTGCACAGACCCTAACTTCCCCACACCCCAGAAGGGGCTCGTGTGCCCTGGCCCCCCAAGCTTGGGTGCATAGCTCAGCGGGGACGCTTCCTCAGCGCAGTGCAGCTCCTTGGTGCACCCAGGGGACTTGGCCTCCGGGCCAGGCCTCATGAGGACGGATGTTGATCCCATTAAAGCAGGGTGAGGAAGCTAAGGCCTGGGGCTGGTTGTGGTCCCTGGCTTGCCTAGGTCCAGCCCTGAAACTCAGGGCTCCCCTCCCCCAGCATTGGGGAGCCTGCACTGGGACTCCCCCCCCCCCCCCCCCCAACTAGCCTGGACCCCCTGGCTCTGCGCGAGAGGAGTGGGGGAGGAGCTTTCTCCTCAGTCGGGGGCCACGTCCGTGAGAGGCTGTGTTTTGGTTTTTTGCTTCTCACTTGTGTGCGGGCCCCATGTGGTTTTTCTGTGGGTCAGCGGCCCACAGAAGGTTCCCCGCCCTGGCCTGAAAGCGAATCCGGTCCTCGGGGCTGGCGTCGTTTCCATGGCAGCCTGCTAGGGAGAGGAGTGGGGGAGGAGCTTTCTCCTCAGTCGGGGGCCACGTCCGTGAGAGGCTGTGTTTTGGTTTTTTGCTTCTCACTTGTGTGCGGGCCCCATGTGGTTTTTCTGTGGGTCAGCGGCCCACAGAAGGTTCCCCGCCCTGGCCTGAAAGCGAATCCGGTCCTCGGGGCTGGCGTCGTTTCCATGGCAGCCTGCTAGGGGAGTCGTGCGAACGCTTGCCTTCCGTCTCCACTGGCCCGTACCCTCTTGCTAGGCCAAAGGGGGCTGCTCAGGTGCTGAGGAGCTGGCCCAGAGTGGAGGAACACCGCTCCCCCTGCCTGGCAGCATAGCCTGGCCCTGACCTGGAAATTGTGTTCTTCTTTCTCAGACCAAAGCGATGGGCTCTGCCAGAAGCTCACTCAGCCCTGCACTGCGCCCAAGCCGCAGAAACCTTGGGAGAAAGACGCATGGGAAATTCCCCGGGAGTCCCTGAAGCTGGACAAGAAACTGGGAGCTGGGCAGTTTGGAGAAGTCTGGATGGGTAAGAGCAACGGGGTGGCTCAGGAAGAGCAATGATTGGGCCGGAGGGGAGAGGGAAGGCAGAAGCGACAATGAGGCAGGGGCTCCGAAAGCGCGAGGGTGAGGGATGCGGGAGACGAGGAGGCAGGGCCTCCGAAGGCGGGAGGGCGAGGGATGTGGTAGACGCGGAGGCAGGGGCTCCCAAGGCGGGAAGGTGAGGGAGGTGGTAGACGAGGAGGCCGGGGCTCCGAAGGCGCGAGGGGGAGGGATGCGGTAGACGAGGAGGCCGGGGCTCCGAAGGCGCGAGGGGGAGGGATGCGGTAGACGAGGAGGCCGGGGCTCCGAAGGCGCGAGGGGGAGGGATGCGGTAGACGAGGAGGCCGGGGCTCCGAAGGCGCGAGGGGGAGGGATGCGGTAGACGAGGAGGCCGGGGCTCCGAAGGCGCGAGGGGGAGGGATGCGGTAGACGAGGAGGCCGGGGCTCCGAAGGCGCGAGGGGGAGGGATGCGGTAGACGAGGAGGCCGGGGCTCCGAAGGCGCGAGGGGGAGGGATGCGGTAGACGAGGAGGCCGGGGCTCCGAAGGCGCGAGGGGGAGGGATGCGGTAGACGAGGAGGCCGGGGCTCCGAAGGCGCGAGGGGGAGGGATGCGGTAGACGAGGAGGCCGGGGCTCCGAAGGCGCGAGGGGGAGGGATGCGGTAGACGAGGAGGCCGGGGCTCCGAAGGCGCGAGGGGGAGGGATGCGGTAGACGAGGAGGCCGGGGCTCCGAAGGCGCGAGGGGGAGGGATGCGGTAGACGAGGAGGCCGGGGCTCCGAAGGCGCGAGGGGGAGGGATGCGGTAGACGAGGAGGCCGGGGCTCCGAAGGCGCGAGGGGGAGGGATGCGGTAGACGAGGAGGCCGGGGCTCCGAAGGCGCGAGGGGGAGGGATGCGGTAGACGAGGAGGCCGGGGCTCCGAAGGCGCGAGGGGGAGGGATGCGGTAGACGAGGAGGCCGGGGCTCCGAAGGCGCGAGGGGGAGGGATGCGGTAGACGAGGAGGCCGGGGCTCCGAAGGCGCGAGGGGGAGGGATGCGGTAGACGAGGAGGCCGGGGCTCCGAAGGCGCGAGGGGGAGGGATGCGGTAGACGAGGAGGCCGGGGCTCCGAAGGCGCGAGGGGGAGGGATGCGGTAGACGAGGAGGCCGGGGCTCCGAAGGCGCGAGGGGGAGGGATGCGGTAGACGAGGAGGCCGGGGCTCCGAAGGCGCGAGGGGGAGGGATGCGGTAGACGAGGAGGCCGGGGCTCCGAAGGCGCGAGGGGGAGGGATGCGGTAGACGAGGAGGCCGGGGCTCCGAAGGCGCGAGGGGGAGGGATGCGGTAGACGAGGAGGCCGGGGCTCCGAAGGCGCGAGGGGGAGGGATGCGGTAGACGAGGAGGCCGGGGCTCCGAAGGCGCGAGGGGGAGGGATGCGGTAGACGAGGAGGCCGGGGCTCCGAAGGCGCGAGGGGGAGGGATGCGGTAGACGAGGAGGCCGGGGCTCCGAAGGCGCGAGGGGGAGGGATGCGGTAGACGAGGAGGCCGGGGCTCCGAAGGCGCGAGGGGGAGGGATGCGGTAGACGAGGAGGCCGGGGCTCCGAAGGCGCGAGGGGGAGGGATGCGGTAGACGAGGAGGCCGGGGCTCCGAAGGCGCGAGGGGGAGGGATGCGGTAGACGAGGAGGCCGGGGCTCCGAAGGCGCGAGGGGGAGGGATGCGGTAGACGAGGAGGCCGGGGCTCCGAAGGCGCGAGGGGGAGGGATGCGGTAGACGAGGAGGCCGGGGCTCCGAAGGCGCGAGGGGGAGGGATGCGGTAGACGAGGAGGCCGGGGCTCCGAAGGCGCGAGGGGGAGGGATGCGGTAGACGAGGAGGCCGGGGCTCCGAAGGCGCGAGGGGGAGGGATGCGGTAGACGAGGAGGCCGGGGCTCCGAAGGCGCGAGGGGGAGGGATGCGGTAGACGAGGAGGCCGGGGCTCCGAAGGCGCGAGGGGGAGGGATGCGGTAGACGAGGAGGCCGGGGCTCCGAAGGCGCGAGGGGGAGGGATGCGGTAGACGAGGAGGCCGGGGCTCCGAAGGCGCGAGGGGGAGGGATGCGGTAGACGAGGAGGCCGGGGCTCCGAAGGCGCGAGGGGGAGGGATGCGGTAGACGAGGAGGCCGGGGCTCCGAAGGCGCGAGGGGGAGGGATGCGGTAGACGAGGAGGCCGGGGCTCCGAAGGCGCGAGGGGGAGGGATGCGGTAGACGAGGAGGCCGGGGCTCCGAAGGCGCGAGGGGGAGGGATGCGGTAGACGAGGAGGCCGGGGCTCCGAAGGCGCGAGGGGGAGGGATGCGGTAGACGAGGAGGCCGGGGCTCCGAAGGCGCGAGGGGGAGGGATGCGGTAGACGAGGAGGCCGGGGCTCCGAAGGCGCGAGGGGGAGGGATGCGGTAGACGAGGAGGCCGGGGCTCCGAAGGCGCGAGGGGGAGGGATGCGGTAGACGAGGAGGCCGGGGCTCCGAAGGCGCGAGGGGGAGGGATGCGGTAGACGAGGAGGCCGGGGCTCCGAAGGCGCGAGGGGGAGGGATGCGGTAGACGAGGAGGCCGGGGCTCCGAAGGCGCGAGGGGGAGGGATGCGGTAGACGAGGAGGCCGGGGCTCCGAAGGCGCGAGGGGGAGGGATGCGGTAGACGAGGAGGCCGGGGCTCCGAAGGCGCGAGGGGGAGGGATGCGGTAGACGAGGAGGCCGGGGCTCCGAAGGCGCGAGGGGGAGGGATGCGGTAGACGAGGAGGCCGGGGCTCCGAAGGCGCGAGGGGGAGGGATGCGGTAGACGAGGAGGCCGGGGCTCCGAAGGCGCGAGGGGGAGGGATGCGGTAGACGAGGAGGCCGGGGCTCCGAAGGCGCGAGGGGGAGGGATGCGGTAGACGAGGAGGCCGGGGCTCCGAAGGCGCGAGGGGGAGGGATGCGGTAGACGAGGAGGCCGGGGCTCCGAAGGCGCGAGGGGGAGGGATGCGGTAGACGAGGAGGCCGGGGCTCCGAAGGCGCGAGGGGGAGGGATGCGGTAGACGAGGAGGCCGGGGCTCCGAAGGCGCGAGGGGGAGGGATGCGGTAGACGAGGAGGCCGGGGCTCCGAAGGCGCGAGGGGGAGGGATGCGGTAGACGAGGAGGCCGGGGCTCCGAAGGCGCGAGGGGGAGGGATGCGGTAGACGAGGAGGCAGGGGCTCCGAAGGCGGAGGGTGAGGGATTCGGTAGACAATGAAGGAGGGAGGCCGTTGGCAGGTAAATACATTCTCTCTCCAGGGAGAGAGAGGGGGATTTGAATGACGACTCCTCCCTTGCCCACAACGCTCCTGTTCATGCAGAGCCAAATTCTGCTTTGCTTTTTTCCATGGTTTCCCTCCCGGGGCTGGGCCAGGAGCAGGGGAGGGCACTGACGGCCTTGTCTAGCCACCAGCCTTCGGGTTGCACCCGTGTCCGTGCACACCAGGGTCACGCTTGTGCAATCTAACGATGTGTGCAGAGAAGCCCTGGTGCAAGCAGGGGCTGAGTCACTGGGGGTGGATGGAGGAAGAGAGACGAGAACGAGGAGCAATGGGCTCAAGATGCAGTGGGGGGGGGCGGGCTGGGAGTGAGT